AGACATAGACTCGTCTAAAAGGGGCGGTATTACTTGCTGCGGCGTGAAAGGTCTTCTCTTCTCCGGAAAGAGCTATGCTGGAGGGAAAGAAAGTCTCCATCCTTCAACCTTATTCTGAGAATAATTCGGTCCGAATGGCGCATGCGTGTTTGCGCTCATGGTCGCGGATGAGGCGGTCGAACCATAGTTAGATACTTCTACAGAATTAACGAACTCTCCAGCGTGTTTATATTTTCGTAAATACATTTCTAAAGGCATAAGTTTCAGGCATAACTCGTTAGAAACTTGAAAAATAATTTGCAAAAACATTCCATTGCCTTTGCAGAAAACATAGGAAATCACATAAATAGATAGAAAATTAAACAAAAACCTATGAAAATACCTGAAGGTCTATATATTTTTCAAAATTTATTCTACTCATTTAAAAAATTAATTCACAGGCTGTTGAAAAGTCGGAAATCATAAGCTGCATTTAAAAAGACAAACAACAGTTTCATGAAACATATTATTCTAAAGAAATCCTCAGAAGGGAAAGTTTGTATTACTATTTTAGAAACAAATAAACTCGTTTAAAATGTCGATTTTTTTAAAACTGAGCACAGGTTGCCTATATATAGGTCTGCATTGTTCTAGTCGATGAGATTTCGAAGGAAGAATTTTCAGTATTTTATTTTTTTCTTCCACGCACGCATTCTGAAAGGAAAATTTTCTTCCCTCCAGCATTTCGTGGAAACCTCTTTTCAGTTTCGAAGACATGCCAAGTCTGAAATACCTGTAACTACAGCAATCACGCAAGCAAATCTCAAGATCCACTACTCTGAAGCTACAGTCAGGAATAAAAAAAGGAAGGGGTTTGGATTTTTATCACAAAGACCATACAGCTTATACCAAAGTGATTTGCAATTATTCTTTGCCAACTTAATGGCTAACGTGTAACACCACACTTAATACAATTATTCGCTGGCTTTACTTTAAGGAAACTTTCTAATTTCAGTCGTAAATAACGAAACACAATGTGACATCAGAGCTTAAACACACAACACAAAATGGAAATGGGGAAAAAAAAAGATGAAAATAAACTGGTACATGTGAATCACATGCAAAATAATATTCTTTACTTCAGGTTATATTCTACAAAACACAACTGAGCTTATTGCAACGTGATTAGTAGCAAAAAGAATGATTTCACTGGTAATGGAAACACTGACTCGATTCTACTAATATTCCTATGCTAGGATGATTTTCGTTCAGGACTTATAAGGTTTCTCCCGCCTTCCTAGCGTGCTTTCGTGGTGTAGTGGTTCTGCACGCTGGGCCGGTATTCCAGAGGTCCGTGGTTCGATTCCCGGCGAAGGCATTGCTAATTTTTCATCTCTCCGGCTTTTCCAATTAACCTAATGTCTCCACAGTGGCGCCGGAACTAAAAGGGTGTTGGATGATGATTCTCCTCACCCAGGATTTGGCAAGCGGGTCCCCTAAAAACCCCAGTTGCCCTTTAAAAGGGGGAGTACATAAGGTATTTTTCCCGCCTTCATGGTGTAGTGGTTCAGCACGCTGGGCCGGAATTCCAGAGGTCCGTGGTTCGATTCCCGGCGAAGGCGCAGCTCATTTTTCATCTCTCCGGCTTTTCCAATTAACCCAATGTCTCTACAGTACAAACAAGAAAAAACAAGTTCTTCGCATTCTGAACTTTTGTTGTAGTTAATATTGCAATATATGGTACACATTCTCGATTTCATCTCTCTGGCCGTATTTTAGGCAATGAAATTAAGAAACAATACTGTGTATTTGAACTCATTTTTTGGAGAAGAAGGATATTTATTATTTTTATACGAAAAATAAATACAATTAATAAATACAAAAAATATTTTTATACGAAAAAATAACAAATACGCTCATTCATAAAAGTAAGCTGGTTTAGCCCTCTTGCTGATCTATGTTTAGCGTATATATGAGTTTTATTAAAAGGCGGTTTTAAAAGCATGATCTTATACTAGGCAAGTTCTAAAATTTAGCTTTGCAGAAAACACATGTGGGGATTTATTAAGTTACTTAATAGTTAATTTTATTTTGAAACAACGCTATTATTCTTGCTTTCAAACCATGCTTTCTTGCCAGAATGTAAACGAGTTAGCGCGCGTATATTCAAATAAGGTAGAAAGAAGTAAGTATTTAAGAGAAGGTCTTGAAAAACGATTTTAAAACGCGTTCTGCCTGCCTGAAGAGCAGTTTAGTTACTAGTGATTAGATTTCTGAGGCGTTGAGCGCTTCTACCCATTAAGCTTGTTTACGCCGAATTTTAAGAGTCCGAGCCTGCCTACGCGTTAAGTAACTTGTGGAAAGCCGTTAGGCTAACTTAATTCTATTCTAAGTTACTTGTTACCTTTTGAGTTGCGGGGTTCCTCCTAACAAATAAATGTGAAGGAACCTAGTGAACAAACAGCTAATCGAATAATCACTTATAATCAGTAACTTATAATAATCAGTAACAGAAACGTAAAGTTCAAGAAGGGTTAGTCTTTATTGCTCAAAATAAAGATATACAGTCGGCCCCTTTCTCAGGGCGCACAGCAAAGCCTCTACTTGGGCTTGAACTTAAAAGTGAAAGAAATAAGAAAAAATGCTTAACTAAAGAGATGTAGCCGAAGCTAACACAAGTCTAACTAGTTGGCCACTAAATATCGAATTAGCTAGCGAAGCTATCAAGGGCCCGTAATGCGGACGTGGCCAAAAGGCAAATTCGCGCTAGTCAGAAACTCTGATTTCCTCTCTCGAAGTCAGTGGAACTTCGACTTAAATACTACTCCTATTCATTTGCATTAAAACGCAATTCTAAAAACACATTCTGGTACGAAAATGTAAGCTGAAATTAGGATGGATAGGAAAGGAGCTTAAAAATAAATGTTAAAAACTTAGGATAAACATTGCAGAGTTAAGCCAAAAGTGTTGGCTTTTTAAGTACAAGTCGGTGCCTTCTGTGAATAATATTGAGTTCATATATAGTCACACAATCTGTTCACGTCTAGTTAGTTTATACTCGCTAAGAATACGACGTTATACACATTACAAAAAAAGCCTGGTGGCGCAGTGGCTGGCGCGTCGGGCAGCAGGTCCGGGTTCGATCCCCGGGCTGGGCAAGGTTGCCTCAGCCTTTTATCCCTTGAGTGCGTCGATAAAATGAATACCAAGTTTGCTTGGAGATTGAACACCAGAGGTCCTGAGACAAGTTGACCGCTTGTTCAGGGCATATGCTCACGCACTCCGGAGCCCATGGTCAGGAAAGCAGATATCAGGGTACCGCAGGCTGCGCCACTCAGTTTAGTTTAGTATACACATTATAAAAAGCTGTAGTCTAATTAGAGCTGGTGTGACTGCATTCTACCATAAATGATACCATACCGATACCGAAAATAGCTCCAGCATCTTTTCTGGTATAACTGTTTTGATTTGAATAGATACTTTTCTCTGTCTCTGAATGGCAACACGAAACCCAGTAGAAGGGCAATGATTTAGAGAACGCTGAGCGGCAACAGTGTGAACTCAGGCAACAGTGTGAACTCAACAGTGTGAACATGAACATGCTTTCGATTTGTTTGATGCAGCCTTAATCCTGCGGATGAGATGTTAAATAGATTCTAGATTACATTAAATTATTTTGGTATTTTAATAAATTCCCTTTTTAAAATAGATTGAATGTTGATTTAGATAGAAATACCACTAAACCACACATACGGAATTTTAGATGTGGCATTTAGATTCATTGTAGAACTCTTGTTAGATACGCAGCGCCATTATTGCCTAACTAGATTGCATAAAAACAATAAATTGAAAAAAAAAAATAATATTTTTGCGCAGAAAACAATAAACAGAAAGCACTTACTTCAGTCTAATTCTTCTCTAAACTTCTTTAAATATATTTCGTTCTTAAAATTACAAACGATCGAAGAGTAAAAAATTAAACACCGCGTTATTTTCGCTGCCTTGGCTTTGAGCCAGCAGTTTCGCAGCCTAGAATTTACATTAAAATTCCTTACCCTCCAATCAAAGTAAAATAAGTCTACGATATACGAAGAAGATACAAAAATATCTAGTATGAAACTAAATAAGCATTAAATTTTCACTGAAACTATTTTTATCATAAAATCATAGCAACGTAATGCAATTTAACAACGTATGTGATCGAGATTTCCATTCTAATACAGAGAGCCTCGACACACTATATTTTACACGTAAATGTTTTCTTTATTCAAAGTAGCGCTTTTTATAAGTTGAGTACTGGTACTGCTCCGCATCAAAGACCTGTCGATACTAAGAGATAATAAATAGAAGTACCTTTACTCCTATTCCAAAAGCAATATCATGCAAATTTTCATGGAAGGTAATGGAAAGCTATCGTTGAATATGAAAAATAATCTTAAAACAAAAATTAATAAACAAAAACTTTTAAATTTAACGCATTTACATTTGCGAAAAAGTGATATTCGCGAAATCTCAGATAATTCACTAAAACTGCAAAGCGCCTCCATAAAATTAAAAATGTTAATTTGCTGATACGTTTAAAAACACGGAAACTTTCTTAGATATTAAAAGCATCCCGAAAAGAATAATCTCTCAAACTAAGCCATTATTTTGCATTATAATTATTATTAGTAGTAGTATTGTTTTTGATTTTATTGGTCTTAGATTGAACTTTTAATGATGGGCATTTTTGAAAAGACTTCAGCAAAACAAGTTTTAATTAACTGCATTACCATTGTATATTACTAGTCGAAAATTCAATATTTATATTTTCTCGTCTTCCGCAAAAAGAATTTTTAAAAATAACTAAAATAAAATTATGGCTTGTTTTGTTATAAACTTGTTGATTTCAGAAAGAAAAAGAAGAGTTTACGTTAAGTAATATCAATTGGGAATATTAAAAAAAGAACACGTAAAGGAAAAACACAAAGATGGATAAAGGAGAAATAAAACAAAAATTTAAATAAATTGGCAGAACTTACTTCAGTGGTTTCACCAGACTCCTTGACAGTTTTTTCTTTTTCAAGTTTTACCTCTCGAACACTTTCATATTCTTTTACAACAGGTTCAGCAGTCTAACAAAAGTGTGATTATGTTCAAAATGAAGGGGAAAAAAAAAACAGAATTTAGGACGTCCAGAATTCTGACATGACGGCAGGTAAAGGTATGTAAAAAATAGTAATTGGGTAATTTTAACTGCTACATTGTTAGTTCTACCAATAACATTAGTATTTAATAAAAAATAAAGCACTATTATATAGACATTCTTCACTCAAAACCACTGCCCTATAAATGTTAAAAAACACAGTATAAACTTAGATACGCTATAAACACTTAAGACAACTACTCAGATAAGATTAATTACGCCCCAACCACTTCAGACGATAACTACGAGGGCCAGGAAGTAGATTACGTTTCCGTCTGTGTCCGCTAGGGCCGGGGCTAGCGCGGCCATCTTGGGGTCAGAGCGTTGCGCAGCTCAGTCTGCATCTAGCCGTGCTAGTGAGAGGTTCGTGCTGTGCTCCGTTCAGATACTGTGACGGTTTGAAATGTCGCGTTAATTGAAAATCCTGCGAGGTGCGCTCAGTAAATAAGGTTTCTGACTGCAAAAAACTGTAAACCGATAGAAATCTATCGGCAGCTTCGTGAAGTGTATGGGGACAACATTATCACTGAAGTGGAGTGCGTCAGTGGGTCATAAGATTTCAAATGGCCGAACCAATGTTCACGACGAAGATCGAAGTGGGAGACCCAGCATAGTGACCGCCGACTTCTCGAAAAAGTCGATGCTAAAGTCCGTGAAAATCGAAATTTCACAATAACGGAAACTTTTTTGAGTTTTCCACAAATTTCGCGAAGTTTGTTTGCACGAAGTCATCAGCGAAAAGCTTGGTTACCCACAAGTTTTGTGCAAGATGGAAGGCAAGAAGAGGTTAACGAAGTGGTTGAAGGCGCAGGCGGCCGAATTTTTCGACGAAGGAATTTCCAAGCTCGTACATCGCTACGAAATGCCTTAATTTGTATGGTGACTATGTAGAAAAGTAGATTTGAGTGTGGCTTTCATCTGTATATAATAAAATTTGTTTCCTATACTTTGTTTATTTTTTTATTCCAAAACGTAATCTACTTTCTGGATAGCCCTCGTATTAAGATATAAACACAAAATGTGAAACAGTTGGTATACAATCGCTTACTACGTTTTTCATTTATTGTAAGCTTTGCACTGCTGGAAAAGTTCTAAAGTACTGTGTTAGAAAAATAGCACGAATAATTAAAAAAAAGCAAAAAAGTTCGTAAATCGGAAAAAAAAAATAAATTTAACATAGCCAGCCCTGGATTGAAAGCAAAATTGACACATCCTCTCTATTCTGTCAATCAATTCATCATGCCTTTCAGTTGCGATTCAAACCCCTGCATCCTTTAATTCCCATTAACAATTCATTCAGTGATCACAGAAAGAGTGACTGAGCAGCTATTTGTCTTTCTAGTTGGTCTACTAATGTTCAATTTATTGCAGCCTGATGATTTTACACGTGAATCCAATTCGTGCATTCTGTGACCTCCTCCTTTCTATTTGACTATAATTAGCCTAAGCAGGCATTACCATTCTTTAAACAAATTTACCACTTATCTGACAATAAATAGTGTCATGTTGGTCAAAAACGTCGTTCTGAAAGATCTGTTCTATTCAGAAATCCAAAGCAAACTCATGGAAGCCAGTACGGGTTTTCAATCGGAAATACTGCACTATTGTATAAAGTTTGTTTCCCTTTTCCAGATCACGACACGACTGAGTTCACAATAAAGAGATTACCTTGTTTCGTCTGATAACGTTGGTTTTCATCATACGAACGTTTTGCCAAACACAGTACAGTTGCTTCGTGTAAACAAGTATATGGAACATACACAAAATGTCTTCTGGTATAAAGAGTCCTTTCAAGTGAAGCCTTCTTTTCACAATTAATCACCTACCGTCTCCTACTGCTGTAAAATAATGCAACAAGTTGTGATGATGCAGTTGTGTTTCATCGTTTTCAACCCTCTGAGCTAGCAAAATGGTCGTCGTAAGGATTTGGGCGACCTGGGAACTGCTGTACTAGTTCAGCAGTTCAGTAGATTTACAAAGGATCGTCCTACAGCTTAAGCTACATTTACTGTTTTTCCAGTCTAGCCTATGATAGATCCTTTTCTATATCTTTGAGATGCAATCAGACATAATGTTATAAGTAGTTAAAGCTTTCCACTGTGCGTTCTCTTGTGGAGTAACTTGGTCCATGTAGCTATTAGAGGATTTTTAATGCTACCTGGCTCCAAAAACAATGTGCATAGTGGTGCTCAACTACAGCGGCCGAATGGGTCTTGTTATTTTCAGTTGGCGTAGAATATAAGGAATTATTGCCTTCTGCCTTGCGTGCTCTTATCGTGTAACCTGGTAGCACGGCTAGCTTCATTGTTCGACAATAGAAACGACATAGTTTATTTTCCATGCTTCGTCCTTCCCTCCCACCAAAACACCTCTACAGAGTTTCAATGTCTGTCAGAACATCTTCGAAACCAAAACGTTTATGCACATGGCTTCATTATTTTGAAAATTTACACACAGTTTAAAAAAAAAAAAAAGACATCCTTTAATTTACATAAGGATTACCTTCATTGCTCTCTTTAATCCTTATTTTATTTTTAATTAAAAATTCACCTTACTTACTATCTTTAATTAAACGGATATTTTTTAACTTTTATCACCCTTGAGATAAATTTCATGAGCTTACTTTTTATTTTATTCAACTAATTAATTTATTTTAGTAATGTCGCGGAAAATCTCTTTGTTCTTTAACTTTTGATAGGTAGAGTATTAGCCTTTTAATAATAAGTAATTTCATATTTTGATTTGTAATTTTACAACTCTGGGTTTTCTCTAATTTTTGCAAGACACCCGATTTATTTTTATGATTATGGCTTTAGAATTTTCTGCTCTATTCTTCAAATTTAATTTCAAAACGAAAGAAAAAATTCTCTGGACGCCCTAAAACAATAAAACATAAAGCAACAAAGTACAAAAAATAGCACAAACGTAAAATAAACTAATAAAACAAGAAACATAAAAATACATAAAATGAAAAACTATATATATATATTAATGGGTGTATAGACATGAACGCACACACCAAAAATATGCATGTCTCTGTGTCCGATAATTTACACGGCACGTTTTAATGAGAGTTTTCCTTATTTTATTTATTGTATTTGAAACTTTATTGTACACTTTACTTTATTCGTATCACTTGGAGTTGATATTTTGCTCCTTCGTGATGCCAGTTTGAACTGATGTACGTAGTGCAAGGATAGTTTCCCAGACAAGACCTCATTACAGCACAAAGGTGATTCAGAAAGTATTCCAGATTTTGATCCTGCATACTGTTAGTAATTTCAGTGAAAATGGTAGTGCCAACAGATACCATCCTTTGAGTGATTTCCAAATTTCGTTTTGGAAGATAGCATTCGACGTGGAACGCCGAATTCTCTAGAAGACTATCCTTTAATTTGCTCAAGACGTCAAAGTTCATCGTAGCAGTGTTCACAGCATTTTGAACAAGCTCTAAACCTGAAGCTACATAAGGTTAATGCAGTAACTGCTATCAACAGATACGACGGGTAGACAAGACTTTTAGTGACTACTTTACGAACAAGAGGGAGATACAAAGAACTATTTTGTGTAGCACTTCGTCAGACAAGTATAAACTGTCGGTCTAGAAGTAAAGAAATCCCTCACGCAATATTCTACCCATACAATGAAACTACGATGAACTCACCATTTGATTTGCCCATTAGTCTTCTGAAGACGATCGAGCTGCTGTTGATGCAACAGTTAACGCTGATAGGCAGAGTATTAGCCTTTTAATAATAAGTAATTTCATATTTTGATTTGTAATTTTACAACTCTGGGTTTTCTCTAATTTTTGCAAGACACCCGATTTATTTTTATGATTATGGCTTTAGAATTTTCTGCTCTATTCTTCAAATTTAATTTCAAAACGAAAGAAAAAATTCTCCGGACGCCCTAAAACAATAAAACATAAAGCAACAAAGTAAAAAAATAGCACAAACGTAAAATAAACTAATAAAAAAACAAGAAACATAAAAATACATAAATGAAAAAACTAAAATATATATATATTAATGGGTGTATAGACATGAACGCACACACCAAAAATATGCATGTCTCCGTGTCCGATAATTTACACGGCACGTTTTAATGAGAGTTTTCCTTATTTTATTTATTGTATTTGAAACTTTATTGTACACTTTACTTTATTCGTATCACTTGGAGTTGATATTTTGCTCCTTCGTGATGCCAGTTTGAACTGATGTACGTAGTGCAAGGATAGTTTCCCAGACAAGACCTCATTACAGCACAAAGGTGATTCAGAAAGTATTCCAGATTTTGATCCTGCATACTGTTAGTAATTTCAGTGAAAATGGTAGTGCCAACAGATACCATCCTTTGAGTGATTTCCAAATTTCGTTTTGAAGATAGCATTCGACGTGGAACGCCGAATTCTCTAGAAGACTATCCTTTAATTTGCTCAAGACGTCAAAGTTCATCGTAGCAGTGTTCACAGCATTTTGAACAAGCTCTAAACCTGAAGCTACATAAGGTTAATGCAGTAACTGCTATCAACAGATACGACGGGTAGACAGGACTTTTAGTGACTACTTTACGAACAAGAGGGAGATACAAAGAACTATTTTGTGTAGCACTTCGTCAGACAAGTATAAACTGTCGGTCTAGAAGTAAAGAAATCCCTCACGCAATATTTTACCCATACAATGAAACTACGATGAACTCACCATTTGATTTGCCCATTAGTCTTCTGAAGACGATCGAGCTGCTGTTGATGCAACAGTTAACGCTGAATATTACAACTACAGTTTTTTCTTCTTTGAACTACAGTGCTTTTATGTAAAACACGTAAATGCAACAAGATACTTCTATTAGTAGCGGAACACTCCTACTGGCGATCCTTCGAGAACGAGACCTTAGATGAGAAATATTCCCATTTGTTCCGAGGGTAAG